TTCATACATATTCATACACCGATGCACAGCATCAGGAGCAATTTGGGGTTCAGTATCTTGCTCAAGGATACTTCGACATGTGGCGGGAGGAGCCAGGGATCGAACCAACAACCTTTCGATCAGTGGACGACCCACTCTGCCTCTGAGCCACAGCTGCCCGATGTGTCGCAGTGTTTCACCGAGGGATACTTGACGCCTCTAGAAACAATTAAAGTGTTATCTTATACTTCCACTGTATTTCCACTGAGGGTACAAAATATTTAAACCATATATCAATCAGGTAAATCTCTTCCTCTGTCTCTCTCTCTCTCCTTTTATTTAATTCACTCTTTCAGATCCCAGAGGAGCATGACCTGGAGAGTCAGGTGAGGATGGAGCGGCAGTGGAGGTTCCTGAGAAACACTCGAGTGAGAAGGCAGAGCCGAGGCATCACTCAAAGAGGTTAGTGACGCAGACAGATGTATTTCCATGTTTATATTAGAGTTACATAAGTGATTGTTTTAGTAACGCCACCAATACACAATATTTAGGTATCTTCACCTACCGAATTCTTATGAACACAAAGCCTTTTATATATAACAGCTGTCTGGTACGAAGAGTCTTATTTACAGGTAGAAGGAACCCTGGACTGCACTTTAGAATTCATTTGCACAGATATTACTGGAAATTAAATTAAATCAATTATCAAAATGTCAGCCCAGGTTTTAATAACTTTGGCATTACATGACATGACCAGCCTCATATTTTAGAAAGGACGAGGCAAGTTTATTTATGGAGCACATTTCATATGCAAATTAAATTGATTAACATATGCACAGAGCATCAAAATCACACATCATATAGTCAGACAAGCAGTAGAAAATGAAATGAAAGCTGAAAAAATAGACAAAAGATATGGAACAAGGGTAATTCCGGGGAAGTACTTGAAGTAAAGAAATCGTCATTACTGCCGTGGCATCTCCATACAATGTGCGCACATTTGAATGCAAGTTGTCTTAATAAGTGTATGATTTTTAACTTTCCCTTTACTTTATATGTAATGTTACCTTTGCAACAATGCCTAGCAAATCAGTAAGAAACTGTGCAGTTGACAGCTGTTCCAACCATAGTGCCAAACTTCAACTCTGGAGAAAAACATACAAGCCTTTACTTCATGAAGAGTGCCATATTTTTTTGCCATATACACTAGAAATTTGTATTTATTAAGTGTTTACTATTGTAACTGGTCTGTGGTGATTAAATGCAACTCTCGATTGATTAAGCTAGCTAGTACAGTAGTATTACACAGTACATCACTTAAATGTGGCAAACGGTCGCTGTTTTCTCTATTTCTGGCTATTTTCATAACAAATGTCTAACTGAAATTTGAATAGCACAAAGATCACTATCCATATAGGGTGCCTTCATCAGTAAGTGGGGCCACTGCTTAACATCATCAATCCAACTACCCAGCAGGCAGCAGTGGTCACAGAATCACTACGGTACAACTTGCCAACACAGTAACACTAGATGGCATAACACACAACCGGATTTGTACAATGGAGCGTTTTTAGTCCATTGTCTTTGTTTTAGGGAACATATTGTGTGTGTCACCACTCTCAACAACCCCATTTCCAGCATCAACAGCAGGCGAGTGAGAAAGCTCTGATAAACTCCTTGTTCATTACCTGCCACCAAAGGGATGATGTAGAAAAAAAGGTCTGAACAATAATGTTTGGAAAACACATATACTTAGAGCTGCAAAGAAACAAAAATTACGCACTAAACAGTTTAAAATGTGTTTGAGGCATCAGTGAGATCTCAAAAAGGACATTCATAGGGATAAAGAACAGAATAAATTATTGAATGTGGGTGGAATAATTTAAATTAGGGTGAAGGCTGGAGTGAAAATTAACATTGGAAGATTATAAAGGTCGATTTGAGGGATGGAAACCTTTTTATTTATTTTTTTATTGTCTGTACATTGAATATATGGATATGTATAGTACATGCATACATAAATATGTTAGGTATGTGTTTGTGTGGGTATGTATCTGTATGTATACACCAACATGTTTAAACTTATAGTGTGTGTGGTGTGTGGTGTTGTGTGTGTGTGTGTGTGTGTGTGTTGTGTGTGTGTGTGTACCTCTTTAACCAGTGCTGTGTACACTACATCATACTGGCGATGATGAGGACCTTAAATAGACAGCTTTAGAAGGTGATAATAGTCAGATGTGTGATTTTTAGTTTGTTGTAGACTTCTCCTGCCCCCAATGTACCCAAGAAAATATAAAATTGCAGCATAGTTCATATTTTAAGGATATATCCTTAAGGACTATATCAGGCTACATTTGTTAATGTCTTGGCTGTCAAGGACTTTGGATTTGGTCCTCAGTTTTAGAGTTTCAAGTTGCATGCTAACATAACTCTAATTTATTATTTAGCTTTAAAGAATTGTGGCACAACCACATTTATTTGTTCAGCAATTATAGTCAGAAAGTAAGAATAAGCATATTTATGTGGGTAATTTGGTTTGGTTTATTTACCAATGGTCTGAGGTCAAAGTATTGAACCTTGAGGGACGTCCAGCAGCCAGGTTGATCTACGTTGTTGACGAAAGTTGACTGATGGACAGGAAAATAGGTCCCTGTCGTCTAGTATGATAGATTCTTCACGCGATTTTAGTCATTAGTGATTAGTGGCATATGGTCAGCAGTGTTAAGATTACAGAGCATATGCACTGACATTTTGCCAGAAACATGTATAATTAAACACTTTTGGAGTATTGGTAAGGGACAGAATCGGGGTCAAATCCAGACTGTCCAAAAAAAAAGGACAGACTGAGTCACAATCCAGGTGTAAATGGTGCAGCTTGGACATGTGAGCCAGAGAGCAGAGAGGATTGATTGAAATCAATCCATAGTCAGAAACAACCCGCTTTATGAGTCACAGGACTTCCCTCACACACGCACACTCAGACACACAAACCTACACATTAAAGAGCCCAGGGTGCCAGCATACACACAGACTCCCCAAGTGAAGTCAGAGATTTCTCAAACGGAATAGCTAACACCCCCAACGTCACTGGTAACACTCTGCACACACACACACACAAAGTCACGAGGCGATTGGCGTCAGAGCTAACGCACTTCTTTCCCTCTCTTTCTGACTGCTCAGTAAATCATTGAATTCCTCTCTATCCTCACAGTTTTTTGAAAGAGAGAGAAGTAGTAGGGTTGCCCTCATTCAGTCTGTTCCCTCCAGAGAGAAACGAAATGAGAGGAGGAAGAGGGGGGGTGGAGGGAGAGGAAGACTGAGCAGGTGAGAAAGAGGCAGGAAAGCTAAGAAATAAGAAAAAAAGTCCTAAAGAAATACTTCAGCTCGTAAACCTGATTTGATTTTCTTTTGTTGTTGATGCAAAATTTACACCCATCACCATGCAGTTCTGAAGTCCTCGGGGTAGTTTCAGATTTTACAGTAGTTACACATCGAATGTGCCGTGAAACAGAACAAACAGCAGATCGATGGTGATGATCCTCAGCTTCTCATATCTACTTTTCCCTCCAACCGCGATTCTTCCAACACAGCTGCATTTGTGATGAATTCATGATGGATTTTTCCTCATTCTTCTTCATCTCATTATCATTGTCTCGAGAGTGCGTTCAGGTAGCCAAGGACAGGCTGGTGAACCGATAAGTGTTGNNATATGGCAAGGCAGTGAACTTATCAGTTGTATCAGCGTGTTGGCACTGCGTTATACTCCACTGAAATCTGCCAAAGGGGTACACAACTAGACTTTATTTTCTCCTTCTTGAGTCTGCTGCCCATAGACTGCCATGTGTTTTGTTTGTTTTCTATTATTCTGCAGCATTGCTGTAATCCTTTCTTCTCCCCATACTCATTCGTTCCAGCATGTTCTGAGTTTAAAATTCTGTTATGAAGCCCTCGTTTTAGTACGATATCTGCCACAGTCCCTCTCGTCCTCGGTTTCCCTTGCTCCGTCATACTTTCAGCTTACAAATTCTCAAGTCCACTGCATTAGGTGATCTGTGTTTAGAGAAACAAATCTTTAACGACCAATACGCAAAGCCCAAAAGCACCTTTGAAGGTGGAACTACCCTATCTTACAGCCTATGTGTAATTCAGTAAATCACATAGAATACTCTGCTACGAGGGATTCTTTTCAATATCTGTCTGAAGTCCATGCAACGCCTGATCCCACTGTGGCTTTGTTCCACCAATCATCCTTCGCCTCTCATCACATTCACTACCTCCCTAATCCTAGACTAACTAGGACTCCTAAAAGTAAGTGATGGCGTATATCCAAGAATCTTCAGACCTCTAAAAAATAACGTCATTGCCTCTGCCACTATTCCACAGAGAGCTAGAGGTGCTCAAGCCGTCCTTTGCTGACTCAAGTAAATACAAACTACAAAGCCAAATAACAACAAAGGCGAGCATCCGCGTAAATTAAGAGCAACTACTTCTGAAGGGACTATCAGACCTCCGATGGGGTAGAGTGTCTGCAAGATAACTGTCCCTGGAACCCCTCAGTAACCACATCTAACTCAGCAACTCCAACCAACATTGCCCACCTGTCGCTACCCACTAGGTTGACAACACACAGGCTCTCAGGTATGGCGCAGGATGCGCCCACTCCACACAACAGAAGCAAACCCTGCAAGGATTTTCCAGTCTTTCACAGAAAATATCCCCTCACCTCATTTTACACCTCTCCGCTTCCCAGTAATACTGGCCTTGGATACTCATCCGTGAACACGCGAATGTCTAGTGATCAAAACTAATTTCATATCAACGAAAACCTAGACGACTAAACACGTCTGATTGTGAAACGATGTCCACACCCTATCCCCACCGCCAATCGCTTGTGAGCCGACCAGGAACACAGCATCTGGCCAAAAGTACACGCCACGACCACGAAAATCCCGAAAACAACCAAACTCCAGCCATCAACGTCCCAATACTGCACCACCGTTCAGTCATAACAATGAATGGTTCTGTAAACCTAAACCAGATCATCTTAAGAGACTGAAATCTTGAAAAAACAACACACTGCAATAACCAACCAGAAGATGAGGTGAGATGTGTTGTGTGATGTGTGGTGTGTTGCTGGCTTTCAGGGATCGGGAGACCTAGGGGGAGACTGGTCCTACTCTCTACCACGAAAACCCTATTCACACCCTCGCATCAACAACTCCATTAGTACCCCGACACGCACTCCGACGCCCTTACTGGCCGGCACAGGTTTCATCGAACGGACCGTAACGCCAACATCCACAATGTAAAACCCTATCGCCGGAAAAGACACTTACATTTTATTTCAAGTACAGGTCTCATATATAGAGGATTCTGTTGAGGAGCGCGGCTCTCTCAAAGTGCATTTCACGCTCCACCACCATACACCTACGGAAACGCCAACAGAGCACCTCATCCGTAGCTAGCCACGAGCCTTATAACACTTGCTCCACCCCGCAACAACACT